GACGTGCGGTACCAGCTGACGGTGACGTCAGACGTGCGGTACCAGCTGACGGTGACGTCAGACGTGCGGTACCCAGCTGACGGTGACGTCACGCGTGAGGTACCCAGCTGACGGTGACGTCAGACGTATGGTACCCAGCTGACGGTGACGTCAGACGAGCGGACGGTGACGTCAGACGAGAGGTACCCAGCTGACGGTGACGTCAGAGATGATGTCAGGAGGTTACAAGCGCACGTTTAATAGTTCTTTAATTTGGGGCCACTGGCCACTGAGGGCACATTGTGAGAATAGTTTATAGTGACGTTGTCCATGTCATCATAATTATTGGCCAAAACCCGTGTCACAATTAATTATATTTAATTAATGGTGACCAAGTACATGGTACCCTACAGGGTGGCCCAGTGGTTAAAGTTCAAAGTACCAGGATTGGAGCAGAGAGTTGCGGGTTTGATCCCAACTACCTGCGACAATTTCTAGTCAGAATCGGTTAATAGGCCGGGCGGTTAAGCAAAACAGAACTGGAGCAGTGAGTTGCGAGTTCGAGACCGCAACAAGCTGTGAATGTTCTGTGATGTTAAGAATCGGCGGCAGGCCTACGGCCTAATAAACGCTGAAACCGCTGTATGTATGTACAAGATGATGGGGCCTCATGCTGTACGGTTACAGAAACTGTCCAGAGTTGGCACATCCAGAACTCAAGCAGGTACTCCTAACCGTCTTTCAGGCTCAGTATTGTAATATCGACCAGTTTTAAATTGGTATTACGATATGAAACATAACATGTAGTGGCAGCGGTGCACGAAAACTGACATTAAGCTGATGTTGAGCTACCTCACGTAAGAGTTGCTTTTTACACAATTTAATTTTCGTGTTGGGATTCATATCTATAAAGTTATCCGTGCCTCGAATGTCGGGCCCACGAATGTCGTGCCCTCGAATGTCGAGTCCTTGAAAGTCATTCATGCCCTCATGTCCTTATTTCACTGACATTCACTTCTCAGATTGTAATCATTCTCCCGATCATCACAGATCTGCCGCCTTGTTTTACGGTTGGGAGGAGGCAGTCGGGATTAAATGACAGCTACACAAGTGCTTCTTGAAGCCATTAGGTTCATCATAAACTAATGCATAAACCCCAGCACGCATACAAAAAATTCAGAGTTCGTGTATTTCGTTCATGTAAACTTCTACGATAGCTTTCATACATATTACTTATGTCTGGAACTTATTAGGAGTTTCCACGTTTTCAGTAACATTGGTATATATGTAGGAGACTTTTGGACCTTCTTAAGAATAAGCATCTTAGTATATGCAAGTTGGTATAAGGCAATGTATTTTTTAGATTGAATCGTAATTATTAAAAAAATTTAATAGACCTAATTTTTTTGTGTTATTAATTCAATGAACCTTGTTAAGAATACACACTCTCTTCATTTTCTCAGTATTTATTATATACGCGATCGATCGGTGGCAAGAGAATGCATTTTATTACTAACTATAATATAGCAGGTTAGCCTGGCGTTGCCGAATAATTTCTATTTGATAATTCCATTTATAGGAATGAAATTATAAAATGTTTATTGAAGGAAGACCGATTTAACCTACTCACGGAACGGTCATTTACCTGCCTTTACTCTATTCTTCTCAAGAGGTTGTCGCATGCGCGCAGATTTCAACGAATTAACAATTTGCTGGCATAAAAGCAGTTGGCTGAGCAGCGACCGGCACAGTAACCACCCGTGTTATACACTCTCAACATTCTCCCTCAAGTTCTATGGGCCTTTCGCCCTCCAAAAATATATTTTACGCGAGGAGGTGCAGTAGGAGGTGCACAATTGAGAAGTTTAGTGCGCCGACGAAGGTCCATGGATACTGATGACGTGGCGTAATTCTAGGTATGACTAATGTAGACACGAGTCGATGTTGCACAGAAAATTTCTCCACTTTGAACTTTGAACACATTTCGTCTTTAACATAAAATATATATGTTTTTATTATTGGCTTGTATTTCAACTACTGATGTTTCATTCGAAAAATAATTATAGCTCACAAGTCTTCGTTTATTTTGAATTATTTTTTACATACGTACTCCAGAGTAAGTTATATTTTGCGATTGTCTGAAGAAGAGGGTTGGTTTTTTCTTCTACTCCTTCAGATTTCACAGCAGCCGTTCCTCTTCCTTAAAGTTATTTGAGCACGTATCGTGGGGGTTGGAGTAAAGACTGTGAAGCTCAGATAGTTTATTGGAGTTGAAGAACTAAGACGCCGACCAACACCTGTCCGTGTTGGAAGGTTGTTAGAATAAACAAGACATGAACACAATGGAATAACGAGATCAAAAGAATTAGGGAAATACCCTTGGTGATACAGTTATCACAGTTACACTGAAATATTTTATTGCATTAAAACAATTTAATTCTAGTTAAGAACTTAGCATCTTACCCCTTAGCAGATGTTCACCCCACGACGTCGTCCAGAAAATGACGCTTAGCGATTGGCTAATGTTTACCCGCTGGCGCGGTCTAGAAGAATTCACAATATTTGATTGTACAATTTAAAAATAGAAATAATTTCCTCGTTTACTGAATTTTAATTAGTCATACATTACGCGAGTGTTATTCGTGCACGAGAATTGACAAGACTTAATGACCGAATATTTTTTAATTATTTAATAGTGAAATGCGAAATAAGCAATCGCGTTCAAGGTAATTAAGTTACATGTAGTTACAGAGATTTATGATTGCCGAGTTTCAACGTTTAATAAAATTAATTACGACATTGACAAGAAATGATTATTGACACTGCGAGTTATGCATACGAGTCGCTGCAGGTCTCCTCCCAAACAAAATTCAGATGCGGGTCCGACTCTGAAATAGGTACCGCCCAGGACTCGGGGCGCGCGTAAATCAGCGTCTCTATGTCCGCTTTTGGTTCTCCTTTTCGTTCCCTAGTCAGACAGCTACGAGAGTCTGCTCCCTACTCTGGCGGCCACTGGGCGGTACGTAATGAGCTCGCTACAGGTTCCGCGAGAGCTCTGGCCGAGTCTGCCAAAAGGATAAAAAAAATCGCCCCCCCCCCTTCCTCCCGAGTGGGAGGAATTAGGGAGGGGCGTTCAATGCATACTATGCTTCTTGTCAATGCCTTTATTTCGACCGCCAAAAATAAATGATCATACAAGACAACTCTGGTCAAAGACGCAGTGATGAGGGCTAGTACAGTGTTGTAACAGACGCAGGGATGAGGGCTAGTACAGTCATGTAACAGACGCAGTGATGAGGGCTAGTACAGTGATGTAACAGACGCAGGGATGAGGGCTAGTACAGTCATGTAACAGACGCAGTGATGAGGGCTAGTACAGTGATGTAACAGACGCAGTGATGAGGGCTAGTACAGTGATGTAACAGACGCAGTGATGAGGGCTAGTACTACATGATAGTGTATCACACAATTAACAATAAACCATTGACTAGGTAGGGGTACCAATTTCTAATGGAAACCTTCGCATTGACTGCAACTCAATATTAATCCACTCTCCAACACATGACGAGTAACGCCTCTGCATCAAACTTTCATCAGGTAAAATAATTATATAAATAAACAGAAAAAATATTTCCTGCCATGATCAGCCCAATAGTTATAAAAATAAAGTCCATTTCATGAATCAAAACCGCAGCAACTTATAAGCTATTTCCCTCACAATCACACAATTAATTCGTTTATAAACTCAAGTTCAAGAAACACAAATTAAATACTTGGTCGTTCCTGGCACAAAAACACTACGATGATATTTAAATTCCTTTGATTCTTCACAACCAATAGTAAAAATAAAGGTGATCAGAGAATACTTCTTTCCTGGTCAGCAAAATTTACTCGCCAAAAAATTCAGTTCACTCGTGCCTTCAAAATTGCATAACTTGTACGCTATTTTACTCGCTCTCGCACATTTGTCAATGATCAAAATACAAGCAGCCTGAATTTGATACGTGATCATTCCTGGCACAAAGACACTACAACAATTTTCAAATTCCTTTGCTTCTTCAACAATCTAACACTAGAAACTGTAAACACGATACCTCGTAAAACTGAAAATCGAGACCAGGAATGCAGCATATTCTTTGGTAGAAGAATAGTTGTTTTCAGCATGAATTGAGAGATTTCGACTTCCTGGGGTATGTTTCTCGGTGTTGTGCCAATGGTAGAGCACTGAAAAGGGTGCCCCGGGGAGCTGTGGTTTGCGCAGCGGATGCTCTGCAGAAACTGCTGGAGGCGGCGTTAAGTGAAAACAGTACTCCATTAGCGTGGGGTAGATTGCTGTCATTTGGGTGGATCGTGCTGCGGCAGCCGGAGAGCAGCGGTTCGTCTCACTCACTAACCACAGTAGTCAAGAGGCAGATTCGAGCATTTATTGAATCTGACCATCTGGTGGCTCCGGAAGAAAGAGTGAGGCGGGAGTCGGGAAACGGAAGTCAAGAGCTCGGAAGGCGAGTGGCCAGCAGGCTGGACGATGGTGACATAAGGGGGGCTGTGCGTATGCTGGCATCATCGGATGATATTGCCACGAGGGACGATAGAACCCGAGAAGTGCTCCGGCAGAAGCATCCTCCGGCACCTGAGGACCTATCTCTCCCTGAACCTGCAGGAGAGGACTACCCACCTCCTTCTATCGTAGGGGAAGGGGATGTGAGGAAAGCCATCGCTTCCTTCAGGCCGGGTCCGGCAGGTGGCCCGGACGGGCTCCGACCGGGTCATCTGGTGGCCCTGATTTCGCGGAAGGCGGGTGAGGCGGGCGCGAGGCTACTGGCCTCCCTTACCGGGTTCGCCAACCTGGTGATTGGAGGGCGGGTTCCTGAGTTTGCAAGACCGGTGTTCTATGGAGCCACTCTTTGCGCCCTACGGAAAAAAGACGGGGGTATTCGCCCCGTAGCGGTTGGGAACACCTTGCGTCGCTTGGCTACCAAGGTTGGAGCATGGCCATTGTCTCCGTTAATAGGGGAAGCACTTCAGCCGGTCCAATTGGGGTTCTCCACCAGGGGTGGGTGCGAGGCAAATATGTCTTGCTTGTGGTCTGGGCAGCAGGTGCACGAACTGTAGAATTAGGGTTTTAGTTTTGTACTTTTGGAAACATTCAATAACTGAACATTCCCATCCAAAAAACTTTTTAAGAACACTCAAACTTTGGTAATGCTTTGAAGGGTATTGAATTTGGTCTAATGTCATCGATTCACATTTTTAAATTATGTATATTCACAAACCTATTGGAAGGGTTCTCAATCTTCCTTGCTAACAGACCAGTCCTGCTGGTGAGGGGTCTTGCAAGGTCGGAGAGTCGATCGCCTAGAACAGGTTCATGTTATACACAACGAAAATTGAAACCTCTTCGCAAGAAACGCTCGTTATTTCTAATAAACTCACAAAAAATGTAGCAGCTATTCGATGATTTAAAATAGGTACTCGAATGTTGAGTCCAGACCTAACCCCTGTTAGACAACAAGCTTTGCAGGTATACGCCCTGCTCTCCATTCAAAAGCAACCAACACAACAGTTATCGTGCTGAACACTCGTACCACACACAAGCAAACATAGGATGATTGGACATCTGTCTTCAGGTAAGTCTAAAACCCAAATCTTGCCTTCAATATGATCCGATTCATCTGATGATGACTCAACCCTGTTAACACCTGGCACTTGACTGCGATTTGTTACTTGGAACGTGTGTTGTTCTTGGACAAGCTGACTTACTCCACTTCCTGATGAAAAAGTTTTAATAGTTGTTACTACCACAAATATGTGATTGGTCCAACATTGGAAAAATTTGATGAATCAATGGATTACTTACCACAACATCATTTATGGGTTTCTGGCAAAAAGTAATTGATCCCTGTTATATCAGTTTCATATATTTATTCGTGAACAAATTCTGGTTTCTGCCTAAAATATTCATACCCGAAAAATGCGTTGATCCTGTTAAACCTTTCTTCTTTTCAGACTCCGAGGCACTGATGTCAGTGTGTGAAATATCCCCCATCACCATTTTTCGCTCACACCGTGCAAAATCATCTGGAATGATAATCATTTCATATTCAATTTATTCATATAGAGGCAGTAGCGAAAAACATCACACTCAATTTTATTGGTAATCAAATCTGAAAGTGAATATTCACAGAGAAGCACTGACTAATAAAAATTCTTTTATACATAGAAACACCTCATACTAAACTCAAATCACAAAGAAAAAAATTATATTTGTATGAAATAAATATGTGAGAAAATCTTCATTAATTTNAAAGTGAATATTCAGAGAGAAGCACTGACTAATAAAAATTCTTTTATACATAGAAACACCTCATACTAAACTCAAATCACAAAGAAAAAAATTATATTTGTATGAAATAAATATGTGAGAAAATGTTCATTAATTTGTGACACACCCGACTCTTCGGCAATCCTTGATATGATGAATTTCGGCCATGTAGCAGGATTTGGAGATGTGCAGGTCCTCGCTAACCATTCCACGTCACCATCAGATGGCCAGTAACAGTATGGCTTTTTACCTCCTTCTAAAATCCATTCTCTTGGCACAATACTCCATTGCTTGACACAATTTCTTGGCCCACTGGCAAAGTAAACCCCTAGAAATTTCTTAAATTTGGAACGATAATTTAGGATGAATAATTAGATTTTATACGAAGGAAGTTGATTTGATTTGACGCTCTGTGCATATTTCTACGTCTTCTCTTCTGCGCCACATGCAGCTATCACGTTATTTCCTCCTGTTGTTTAGTCGAGGCCAAGCAGAGTATGGAAAAATGCAAGAAACAGACAGTAAACGGGCCAAAATTCCCTAAAATACTTGCAGGTTGTGCCTAAAGACGAATCGGTATTAGTTGTTGAATTTTGATGAAAAATTTATGTGTGTTTTTTTTCACCAGATGGCGGCCTGGCTCCTGATTGGTCCATGGCGGTTGTGGAAGCTGAGAGGGAAGACCGGGTGCATTTGGGGACCTCATTGAAGTATACAAGTATACTCATGGTCTAGGAGGAGATCGAGTCTCCCTTCAAACTATCGTCAGTCATGAAAAGATCCGGTCAAATGAATCGGCGACAGGCCACATCAGGCCTACATTTCAGCGCCGACATCACTATGTTATGTTATGGCTGTCGGGCTGCGAGCTCACTCAGCTCTGTAGCATATAACGTTTCCTGTATTCTTAATAACTAGCCGCTAAGAAGAAGCACGTTTTAGAAGTCGTGCTCCGTACGCCTTCGTTCCTGTTTCATGTTCAATATGTTGGTCCCAATAAAGCCTGTTCCGTGCTGCCGTGTTCTTCCCACCTTTCACGCGCGTAACTTCATACATTACACTGGCGACGAGTAATTCGACTGGAGAAGATAAAACGGCACAATGGCACCTTATATTGGGACTATGGCAGAATTCGATCCCGAAAAGGACGAATTTGAAGTGTATATAGCACGCATGAAGTTGTTCTTCACTGCGAATACGGTGTCAGAGGCTAAAAAAGCTTCCGTGTTTTTGACACTAGTTGGAGGGAGGACCTACTCAGTTCTTCGTGATTTGCTTCATCCAGAAGATCCCGGTGAACAGTCATTTGACGTATTGGCAGCTAGGCTGTTGGAACAGTACGCGCCTAAACGTAACAAAATTGCAGAACGTTTCAAATTTCATAGATGCAAGCAATTGCCTGATCAAACGGTCTCAGCGTATGTTGCTCAGCTTAAGAAGTGTGCCAGTACATGTGACTACGGGACTTTTCTAGAAGAATCGCTTAGAGACAAGTTAATTGAAGGTCTCAAAGAGGCAACGCTTCAACGAGAATTGTTGAAAAAATCCGACGTAACTTTCAAGACAGCAGTTGAATTTGCCCTTGCTTTCGAATTAACAGTGAAAACGTCCGATGAAATGCAAGGACTGAATGTGGTAAAAAGTACTGGAAGCGACGCCATTAATGCAGTGTCTTCAAGCAAGATAACTAAGGCAAACAATCGTAATGTGACTCGGAAACGCGGGCCTAGCGACCCGGAATCGAAGCAACCGAAGCCATGTTTTCGGTGCAATGGACGAAACCACAACGCTGCAACATGCCGATTCAAGAATTATAAATGTAATTCGTGTGGCAAGACTGGGCACCTAGGTAAGGCCTGCCGGAACAAGGTCCAGGCAGTAGATGCAAAGGAAGAATCTTCGCACATGGAGCTGTACCACATTAACAGTGTGGGGTGCTCACCATACGTCGTCAACGTGCAACTGAACGGCAAGCAAGTGGAAATGCAGGTTGATACCGGCGCAGGAGTCAGCATCATATCCAGCAAGAAGTATAACAAACTCTTCAAGGAGCCACTTAAGCCTGCACAGTGCTTACTATCGACGTATTCAAACAGCGTTTTGGAAGTACTTGGTAAGGTTGCTATGGATGTGGTTCATGCTGGGAAGAGGTTAAAATTGAATATTTTTGTGGTTCGCGGCGACGGTCCAACTTTGCTTGGTCGCGATTGGCTTAAGCAATTAAAGTTAGACTGGACTGCGGTATATAGAATCAATTCTTTGGATGACATTCTAACTATGCCTCTGTGTTTGATGGTAGCCTTGGTAAAGTTAAGAATGTTAAGGTTAATGTTCCATTGTTGCCCGATGCTCAGCCCAAATTTCTAAAATCCAGACCTGTGCCTTACGCTATGAGAGCGGCTGTTGATAAGCAGCTGGATGACATGCTTAAAGATGGGGTTATTTATAGAGTGGATCACAGTGAATGGGCAACCCCTATAGTTTGCGTTCCTAAAAAGGAATCCACACGTCAGCAAAGAAAGTGGAAGCTGTTAAGCGTGCGCCTGTTCCCAAAAATGTCACTGAATTAAAGTCGTTTCTTGGTATGGTAAATTATTATGGTTCATTTTTGCCCAATTTGTCAACTATGTTGCATCCGATGCACAAGCTTCTCAAAAAAGGGGAAAAATTCGTGTGGAATAAGCTGCTTCGATGCCAGTTGTCTTCTAGCTGTCGCCTGAAGGGTTGTGCGCCTCTGTTGCTCTAGCTAGTCCTCCTTGCAGAGAAAGTATAGATTTCTGAGCTCGTTTCTGGATTGACTTGTGTTCATTGTTGATTAAACACTTGTTTAATTTTGTATTGTGCATTTTTAGGCAACTATTTTTAGGCCCGAAGCAAGTTTACCTAAAAACACAAGATCCTTTAACTCTTAGCAACAAGGTATCTCTGAAAATTTGCAATTTAATAGAATTTCATCTTGTTTAATAATATCGCATACGTCAACGAGTATACAATCCAAGATCCAGCAATTTCCAACGTGTAAACTGGTGAGTATATACTATTATGTCATACATGTACCATAGATTTTAGTACGATAATTCGTACTGTCTTGCCAGCGCTGGACGTTGGGGCCACTCGTAATTCTGCAGGCCGTGGCATCAAGCACTGAGCCCTGGCACTAGGCGCGGTGGGTTTTAGTCACTTAATTTGGTCCGGGTCCGGTGGACCGGTACGGGTCCGGGTTTTAGTCTTTACCTGTGCCTGACTGTAAGCAGCTCCCATGGCATTTATGTAATATTAACTATCGTCTGCAAACTTGAACATTCGTTTGAACAAGCCCTTGACATACGTTCATACCTCTGTTTAATGTGCTTTGAGGCATGCTCGCATCACATTAACCTTCCTCAAAATGTTGATAACGTAAGCAAAATGTGCGACTTTAAGCCCAAATATTTTAAGGATTTTGCAGCTTAAAAATTGATTAGAAGGTAATTGCATTGTAACGTTACTAACGTAATGTCGCGCGTCTGGCACCACATCGATGTAGGGCAAGATATATACCTCGTGGAAAGGTGCAAGATTTCGTTTGCTCTCCATCAGAATGAATCTTGACCGTTCCTGCAAGCAGATCACGTGTTTGGTGGCTCCTCTGCCCTATCTTCTTGGTCATTGCTGGAGGGTATTGATTATGCTTACATCCGAGCATATGAAGCTAGTAAAGCGTCTCATGTTGACTTCGAGGAAAACAAACACGCTTTATTTTGGTCTTTGTAGAGAACCCTGTATGAATAACAGAAAGTTTCAAGTTACACAAATATAAGTACATAGAAAAAGATTATTATCATTATAAATCACTTCAGCTATTTAACAGAGTAATTACTACGCAATTACTGTGGCTACCTTTAGGTAATTACTCTATAATAAGAGGTTCCGGTGAAATAAATAGAAATATTAAAAGTTGGAATGAAGCTAACTACTGTTGTATTCATCGAGGTGACGTTCATAGATAAAAAAATCTTATTTTTACAATTTAAATTTAATTCAGAATTTTTAAATATTTTATTACATTAATCCAAAATCCTGAACGAGACCGCTACACTAGATATGACCTTCGCTCTTTACACCTCAAGACACAGTTATGACTGCTCTATCCTACGCGACTGCAAGCACCAGAAATGTTCATGTCGTCCCTATCTTTGTCCTTGTATATACTATCTTCGAGACTGAATAAATAAGACTCCTGGGTTACAGCCCATTAAAGGCGAGAACATTGTGCGTCTCTTGATGCGTTCATTAATATTTTTTAATTTGTAGAAGAAGAAGAAGAAGAAAAAGGAATAGAATCCTGTTGTGACCTGTCAGCAAACAAAGGCAGCGTAGCAACGATGGAACTTTTGTAGCTGTTACTTATGTATATTCAGGTTACCTACTGGAGAAAAATGAGATATCAAGTTGAATTTTTCTATTTCAAATGTTTGAATAAATTTTTCGTTATTTAATCATAATTCATAGCTGTGATTCTGTAAGTAATGCTTCATTAACATAATTATTGGAACTTATAGTAATAATTTGTAGATTTTTTAATACGAAAGTTTATAATTTTATGCATGTACTAAAATTGAAGGAAATCTGAATTCAAAATTTCATACCCGTGCACCTCTTTAAGAGATGTGCATCGTCTGCTCGATACATATACTGTACATATAAAAATATGTAGAAAATAGTGAAACTTTATTAGGATTTTTGATGACGAAAACATGGAAATGTTTAAACCGAAATCGTTGTATCCTAACTAATGATTGAAGAAATTTATTGAGATGAAATGACAGCTTTTACTAATATTAACTAACTAGAAATGAATAGAAGTTTACAATGTACAGAGTATATCAAGTCCTTACCTTAATAGCAGTTTACCGATGTATAGAGGATATCAAGTCCTTACCTTAATAGCAGTTTACTGATGTTTAGAGTATATCAAGTCCCTACCTTAATAGCAGTTTACTGATGTATAGAGGATATCAAGTCCTTACCTTAATAGCAGTTTACTGATGTTTAGAGGATATCAAGTCCCTACCTTAATAGCAGTTTACTGATGTTTAGAGGATATCAAGTCCTTACCTTAATAGCAGTTTACTGATGTTTAGAGTATATCAAGTCCCTACCTTAATAGCAGTTTACTGATGTTTAGAGTATATCAAGTCCTTACCTTAATAGCAGTTTACTGATGTTTAGAGGATATCAAATCCTTACCTTAATCCATTCAAAACCTTTGTCGACTTCTCGAGTTCTTCCCTCCTCCCCCAGGATGTCTATATCAACCATGAGATAGGGATAATTAACTTGGTATCCACGTATCTACTTAAGCTTAATTCAAAGGACATTTTCTGTTAATTTTATTCAAAAGGAAATAAGCAAACAGATGAAGTGTGCAATAGCTGCGTCAGAAATGGCTGGTGACTGTCCGACGCTGCATGCGTATATAAAGTGTGAGTTCTGCTTCTCGCTCTCATGGTTCTGTGCTTGCCAACGCCAAGATGTTTAGCTCAAAGTTCATGGCCTTGTTTGTAACATAAAATAAATACAATGCAATCTTCAATTTACAAACTCTCATTTCTTAGATTTTTGATATATGTTTCAATGCGGGTAATAAAAGCGTTAATTGTGAAGCCCAGATTTTTCTAGTGGAAATTAGTAGCGATTAAAGTGTTTCAGAAATTATAAAAAAAAAAAATTAGTACCTATTCGAAAGTGAACTTCACCTCTGAACACGGCCGTAATTAACCTCGTTCAGACTTAGTGTTTATGTTCATTGCGCGAGAAACTCTTATTAGACTAAGTACTCAATTGTAAGTAATTTATTATGTGATTTAATTTACTGATTATTTTTTTAAGTGATTATAATCTTGTTCTATTCGTGATGTTTGGCATGACTTCTAGTTTATAAAGTTATCGCTACCGTCAGATGTAGAATTTTATTGAATTAATTATGTGAGTGGTACAAGTCGAATCAACAGATTAAACCACCCTAATTATTATTTTGAAATAAAAATGGAGTTCTAGCTTCGCTTCTGTATTGAATTACAGTTCAATTCACTGTTATTACCCCGCAAGAAATGTTTCCAGTTATTGCAATCAATCGCAACAACAACACAGATAATGTTGTAAAACATCATCGTTGAAGACGTTGTACATGTTAATCTTTTGTTGCTACTTTACTCATCTGATCGAAATGCTTGAGCCAAAACCTAGTATTGATTTGTTGTTGCTTATCAAGTTCTCTTGATGATGAAGTCAAATTGTTGAAACCTCAGTAATGGGTTTTTATATATAGAGTTAAGATCGAGCGCGCGTGCTTGCTTTTTTAACTACATGCAAATGGTTTTTTTCTTGATTCTAATTGAATGAGAGTTCATGCCTTTCGTTCAGAACATGCAATCTTTGGCGTCTTTCCACTGATAGAATTTCAACCAAGAACAGATTAAATTTGCATGCAATACGTTTGTGTGTGTTTATTAAAAATGCAAATATCAACATAGCTTGATTGCATGTTTTTTGAACTTCTCAGAAGTGATACAAAATTGTGAAGAATATTCATGCAAAAGCCATAAGAATCATGTGTGATTAAACTACCGTAAAAATAATGCTTTCCTGGCTTCTAACGAAAATTACAAAGTCATAGCGAGTTTTCTTGCAGCGATAGAAAATAGAACGCGGATTTAGAACGCAGCTTTACTATGCAAGATTGAGGCTGTGGGCATTGCTTGTTCGATCTTGTAGCGCCGCAGGAATCCCCACGACCCGGAAATGATCATTTCTTTGATGATAAAAAATTAAGTAGACAGCGTCTGTCACGAGCGTCTAGCCCATGCAGACACTCGCGGATGGGTCAATAAAAATCGGACTTCGTTATTCTACTTCTTATTGTGAGTGCATCTTCACATGACGTCCTCTGCAAAACAGAGTTGCTTCAGAAAGCAATATTTATATTAGTCATTAGGGTAATTCCTCTGAACGTCAGCCGGCAACGACTGAGCAAGTTAAGGCACTTGAAGAATTTATTCCGATTTCTACCTAGGCAAAAGTAGTCTTATTACATGAAGATAATATTTGATAATATTTGAAACATCTCTGCTCACATCACTGATAAATCAGGTAGAATTTAGACATCAAAATTATGCATAGTTATTAGAAATTGACTAACGGTATTCATGTTATCATGAGATAACTTAACACCAGAATTCTTATAGAATACATGTCACATATGATGAGTCGTAATACTGAATATAGGACAATTAAGTTAGAGCTATACTCGCCACTAAAAGATTCTACCAATTTACTGTTTGTAAGAAACAAGTTCGCTGAATCACATTACAAACAATTTGCTATGAGAACATTTTTAAAACACGAACAAATAATAAGTCACGCTTAATTTACTCACGATATTTTGCTGTTCCTGCGCGTCTCATTGATTTGTTTGCCCCGTAGCAAGGGACGCCATCGATGCTTCTCAACCGCCAAATTTCAAGTAACCTGGAACGCGATGTCTGTGTACGCGGATAATAAAAATATTATAACTAAAGCTAATGCTGGGATTTATCCCGGCACAGCGTCGAATAAAAACGATATCCTCACGACGAGATCAAGCTCAAGTGGAAGAGATGAGAGGATACTACGTGTGCTTGCTTAAATATCACGCTGCTTGTTTTAGGTCTCATTCACCGACCTCATGAATGAAGCTTCTTCCTTGTATAGATTGTACAGGGTGTTTCAGAATTAAGTAACCCTTTTAATTTGTTAATAAATAAAAAACTAAGAACGTTATGAAGTTGAAACTTGTTTTATTTAAAAGAAGAACATTTTCATGGTAATATTGTATCATAGTTACGTCATTATCCTGTATAGCTTGCTAAATTTATATTTAAAAACTAGGATACAATATTACCATAAAAATCTTCTTCTTTTAAATAAAACAAGTTTCAACTTCATAACGTTCTTAGTTTTTTATTTATTAACAAATTAAAAGGGTTACTTAATTCTGAAACACCCTGTATGTAGAGCTGGGCAGTAGCGCGCTACATGTAGCGGCCGCTAGTAGCGGCCGCTACATTTTCAGTAGCGGTAGCGGTAGCGGCGCTACATTTAAGCATTTGTAGCGGTAGCGGTAGCGCCCGCTACATATTTA